GGGTTTAGGGTTTAGGGCTTTTTCTGCGCAGTTCCAGGTCGAAGCCCTGAAGCCGTAAACCTTAGACCCCCAAGGCCTGAAACGCAGACCCCAAGGCCCTAACCATCAAAGCCACAAAAACCACAAATCTTGAAGCCTCCTTTTAGGGTTTAGGGTTTAGTACCTTCGCCATCAAAACGATCGGTGAGCCAGTGTAAGGGGGCGATTTTTACAATCGGTAAGGTGCCGATTCTCCTTTAACGGAACTGCAGGGTTCTATACTAGGGCCCCCGAAAGGGAACTATAGGGTTCTATAGTATAGTAGGGTCCCCTTTAAGGGAACTGTAGGGTGCGAGAGTTCTTTGGGAATTGCCGTCGGAGGCGTGGCTCCAACGAAAGCAACCACACGGACTATAGGGTAAGTAGAAGAAGGCTGAATAGGGCTTTGGGGCTTTGTAAATATTTCAGAGGTTTTAGCGTTCAGGGTAAATTGAATATCCCTTGAAGTAACCTCCGTTCACCACCGGTCTGATAGACAACCCGAACACGGTAAAGGCGGAGGGGCCTGAGCACTCACTGTTGCTACTCCTTCGGGTCCCTTGTACAATGAAAGTATAATATACCCCAAGATTCCTACCCTAAACCCTAAACCCATTATTAATTACTAGGTTGGGCCTTTGAAGCCCTTCGAAAGTAAGATCCTTTGTATTCCCAATAAAGCCAACATGTAGACTGTCCCAGAGGCCTCCCCGGCTTCTCAACCCTAATCCCTAAATGCGTAGTTCTCTCAACTAGGGCCCCTTTGTAAGGAACATCCTATTCCAATTATTAACCCCAGGCCGCTACGGCGCCTATGGGTACCTTAAGAACCCAAAACCTANNACCTACTTTTCTGTAGGGTCCCTATAGATCCAATATTAGGGTGTATAATAAGAACATACAAGAAAGTGGGTTTTGGGTTCTTAAGGTATCCTTTCCCTGCCCAGGTGCTTCGCTCCGGAACCGCCGCCCCCGGAGCCGCCAAAAGCCTACTGCATTGGTGGTTGCTCTGTTTCCTGCCTTGTGGGCTTAGGTTTAGGGTTTAGGGTTTAGGGTTTAGGGTTTAGGGTTTAGGGTTTAGGGTTTAGGGTTTAGGGTTTAGGGTTTAGGGTTTAGGGTTAGGGTTTCGGGATGGGGGGTTGAATTTAGGATTTGGGGGGGCGCTGGATTTTTCAATATGTCATTAGAAGAGCTAAACAATTTGCCGAAAATCCTGGACTTGCCGAACCTAGGCCCTACACGCGGACAGCAGTCGGCGAGGGGTGAGCAAGCGAGAACATGCTTGATAAGCTCCAAACACACAATTGGGTCCATGGGCTCTGTTTTGGGCTTGGGATTTCCAGATTGTAGGAAATTTTTCTGGGCGGTACATTTCCGAGGAAGTTCCGGCACTCAACAAGTAGAAATCGTTTGCCTCTCAGCATCTAGAGGCGCTGGCGGTACAAGTTCGATGGCGTCACAGTACCCAGAAAACGTGAATGCCTTCGAGTAATGAATATACGGTAAGCGTTTCATTTAAGGTACACTCGTTAACTTCTAAGTACCCATGCGTTTCAAAAACGTGTTGGTGTTCGTGCTACCATAGACCCGATAGCACAGCTGCAGAGCCCTCTTTCTACGCTCATCATGCGAAGTATTGCTCTTCTTGGTGTTCTTATTCCTCTCATCATGCGTAGTGTTCCTATTGGTACTACGGCTTTACTAGGAATGCTACTGCTACTATTGTTATCACTATCTTATTCTTATTTATCTCTTATAGTTCTACTCTGAGGTTCAGACCTGCGGGGGCAACTTCGCGCCGGCTCCGCTTGGTGCGTCGGTGGGTGCACCGAAACCTCCACGGAACAGGACCTCCAGGGAGACTTCTAGTTTAAGGAATTTAGGGAGTTTAGGGTCTAAGAGTTTTGGGTTTAGGGGTTTAGGGTTTAGGGAATTTAGGGTTTAGGGAGTTTAGGGTGTAGGGGCTTAGGAAGTTTAGGGTTTAGGGAGTTTAGCACTGGGTTCTGGGTTTAAGCTTTGGTGCTTGTTTTGAACCCGGGCTTGCAGAGAGTCTGCGCTTAGGGTCTGGCTACAGGGGTTTCGGAGACCATAATGCGCAAATCCCGCTTGCCTTTGCACCCGAACTCTACACGATAAAGTCGGCGAAGTCAACGGATCTTAGTACCCCTAAACCCTAAACCCTCTTAGTGCAGAGAAGCTCTACATCGATCCTGATGAATTTTAAACTTACGCACCCTCAACTTGAGACCCTTTCTTTCCGAGCCCCCCCCCCCCAAGTTTCAGCCAACACTAAGCCCTACTTGTCAAGTATCATGGGGGAAGTACTGGTTTCCGGGTTTCAGGGGTTTAGGGTTTATAAGGATTATATGGATTTTGGTACCCCTTTAAGAGCTCTACTACGAAGCTGCCGAGCAAGCCTCCCGGACTCTTTCGTTCCATAGCTCCTTGCACCGCAACAGGCAAACTCAATGCACCATGCGATGTTGAGTCCTGGGTCTGGTTGAACAACTAGAATAGGGTTTTGGGGGGATATTGTACTATACCTATAGTCAGGAACCCCCAAAACAATATAGGTAATGTTAAGGCCCCTCTGGTAGTCGTTACTTTTTGGGTCCATGAGTTAGGCCTTTTGGTTGAGGAGTGAGGACCCTGTGTCTGGGTTGTTTGTTCGGTTCATGAGTTGGGCTTTTTGGCCAGTTTGCTTTGCAAGGGTTTAGGCCTAAGCGGCCCGGACTTCGTGAGAGATTGTGCAAGCAGACTCGGTGTTGGGTTTAGGTCTCGCCGTATACAACATTTTGTACCCTTATGACATAGGTGTACGACAATGGCATGCAGCATGGCATGCATAGTCAGTGGCGAAGGCATGTACCTTAGACATTAAGGTTGGAGTACCCGAGTCTGTATCGTGTTGTGGGGTCTGCTATCACCCCAAAAACCCTTCTCTGCTTCCTGAGCGTTTCTGATGTGCATCTGAAGCGGACGCGTGAACCCGCCCACCGACACCTATATTCTTAGGATTCTTAGGGGAGCATATAGGGAAATCATAATCAAGGATCCCATATCTGGCCAGCTTATATTCCCAAGCAATGTTACAGCACCATGGCAGCCATGACGACCACGACCACCAAGACCACCAGAACCACCAGGAGACCACAAAGAGACACAAGGCCTGACGGGATTCAGGAGCACGGCGAAAGTCCTTTCCCCAAATACTGGCGGATTCAGTGTCCTAAACCCTGAACCGGAAAGGTTTTGGGGCTAGGGTCTCGCACCCTAAACCGCTTAAGGCAGGTAAATTCTGAACTTGTCGTCCTTGCGGAAGACTGGCACTACTCGAAGATGCCTCGAACGACCTCTGACGGACGAAAGAAACCCTCTAAATTCCTGTACTCCCTAAACCTTCAAGCCCCAAAAGCAGAAATTCTGAACCCTCGAAAGTTCCAACCTGAACGCTAAGTAGGGTCATTCATGTGTAGTTAAAATTGTAACGAAAGTTGCCATGACTTCTAACCTTACTTGCAAAGTTCCTGATCCCATGGCTAGTCTCACTGGCCCAAAACCCAAGGA